CCCCCCCACAATATTCAGAGGAAACATTAAGAACAGTCCCACTTCGTCACGGGGGGTGAGTGTGGGAGGGGGTGCTGGCCGGTGTGGGGGTGTTTGGGGCTGTCACAGAGTGTGGGGGAGTCAGGATCCTGCGTCCCACACTTCCTGCGTTTCCCCGGGACTCTCAGCCGGCCAGTAACACAGAAGGTTTATTAGCCGACAGGAGCACAGCCCAAAACAGAGCTTGTAGGAACAGAGACCAGGATCCCTCAGTCAGGTCCCTCTTGCGGGGTGGGGAGCCCAGACCCCGGTGCTGGGCCTCTCTCTCTCTCCCCCCCGCTCCCCAGCCAGCTCCAAACTGAGACCCCCTCCAGCCCCTCCTCTAGCCTTTGTCTCTCCCCTGGGCCAGGAGGCCACCGGATCTTTGTTCTCCAACACCTTCAGTTGGCACCTTGCAGGGGGGGCCCAGGCCATGAGTTGCTAGGAGACGGGGTGTCGGCCATTCTCTGTACAGACACCATCACACCTGCCTAGGGCTCTGCAACAATCACACCTGTCACGGAGTCCCTGGGCGATGCTCTGGATCTGCTCCCCATGAAGCCAGTCAGGACTCTGGGGCAGTCGCCTTTCTCTGAGCAGCCTGTCTTCAGGACACGCAGCTCACACAGCTTCCACCTTCCTGGGTCTGACCTCGGAGCATTCAGCATCCTCTGCCCCTCCGTGCGCTTCCCACAGCGAGTCCACCCAGGCGGGGTCCTGGGGAAGCCAGAGGGTCCTGCCCCCCAACTCCGCAGTCAGACATGACTCTCAGCCAGCCAGTAACACAGAAGGTTTATTAGACGACAGGAACATGGTCTAAAACAGAGCTTGCAGGTGCAGAGAACGGGACCCCTCAGCTGGGTCCATTCTGGGGGGCAGTGAGCCAGACAACCACGTCTGCACCTCACTCCATGTCCCAGCCAGCCCCCAACTGACTCCCCCTCCAGCCCCTCCTCCTCTGGGCTTTGTTCCTTTCCCGGGCCAGGTGGTCACCTGATTCCTTTGTTCTCCAACCCTTTAGCTCTCACCTTGCAGGGGGGAAGGGCCCAGGCCCTCAGTTGCCAGGAAACAGGGTGTCGGCCATTCTCTGTGTCCAGACTCCTGCACACACCTGCCCTCTAGGGCTCTGCAATGATCATACACCCTTACCCCACCCCCTAGATACTTAAGAACTGCCTGGGGGAAACTGAGGCACCCCCACACTATTCAGAGGGAACATTAAGAACAGTCCCACTTCGTCACAACACCCCCTTATCCCAGCACCTAGATACTTAAGAAATGCATAGGGGAAACTGAGGCACGCACAGAGTATTCAGAGAGAACATTAAGAACATTCCCCTTCGTCGCATCGGTGCAGTTGGGGGGTAGGAGGATGGCTGTGGGGTGTTGGGGGGGCAGCATGGTTCTGGGGACCGAGCAGTCAGGGAGGCTGAGTGTATGCACAGGGGGCTGGGGAGGAGGGATAGCGGGGTCTCGCAGCGTGACCCTAGGGAGGGAAGGGGGATTGTGGGGGTGGTGGCAGGGTGACCACAGGGAGGGGGACTGGCGGGGGGGAGGGTCCGGCAGGGTGACACCGGGGAGGGTGGGGTGACCCCGAGGAGGGGGCCGGCGGGAGGGTGATGGCCGTACCCCCCCAGGTGCTGTTCATCGATGAGGTTCACATGCTGGACATCGAGTGTTTCTCCTTCCTCAACCGGGCGCTGGAGAGCGACATGGCCCCGGTGCTCATCATGGCCACCAACCGCGGCATCACCAGGTGGGCAGCTGGGGGGAGGGGCCTGGCCCAGGAGGGGGCACAGGTGTGGCTTTCCCAGGGGGCGGGGGAGGGGCTGGGTTAACAGGTGGTTCTGAAGGGGGGCGGGGGGGTTGGTGGGGGTCATGGTGACAGGCGGCTCTGACCCTGGTGGGGGATGGGGACTCCCCTGTTTCTGAGACCCTGCTCCCCACAGGATCTGGTCTGGGGGTGCTGAGTGAATGCATGGGGGGGGGGGGCCTGGCCAAGGAGGGGAGGGGGCAGGCCCAGGGCAGGGCACACATGGGGTTTTCCCGGTGGGGGGCGTGGGGCATACGGGGTCAGAGCCACCTGTCGGGGGGTGGGGTTGGTGGGGGGCAGGATGACAGGTGTATCTGATGGGGCGGCCTGGCAGGGGGGCAGGGGCTGGAGCCCCTCCCCCATTCCTGAGCCCCGCTCCCCCCAGGATCCGCGGCACCAGCTACCAGAGCCCCCACGGGATCCCCATCGACCTGCTGGACCGGCTGCTGATCATCTCCACGGCCCCCTACAGCGACAAGGAGACCAAGCAGATCCTCAAGATCCGGTATGGGGGGGCCCCCGGCAGTGCCCCCCAGCGCAATGCACTGTCACCTTCCCACAGGCCCAATGCTCTCACCCAGCCCGGCAGCCCGCCCCAGGGTCGCTCTCACTGGGGTGAGCCCCTCGGCTTCCTGCCCCCTGGGACCCACCCTTGGAGCCTGCAGACCACCCCCACCCCCCTGGATCAGGCTGGGAGCCCCTCGCAGCAAGTGCCCCGGGATGGGCCCCGGGGGCAGACGGACCCCCCCCAGTGGGAGCCGGGCCCCCCAGCTCCAGACTTGGGAGTGACTCAGCCAGCGGAGGAGCGCAGGGGGGGGGTTGGGGGTCTGGGCAGCGCGGAGAGTCCTGGGTTAGCGCCAGGAACAGAAATTACAGCCAAGGCCGGCTGGGTCGGGCCCGAGCCCCCTGACCCCTTAGTACCAGTGCCCCCAGCAGCCCCACACGGAACAACCTACCCCCAGCCCCTGCCAGCCCTTTGTCCTCCAGCTGGTCGCACCCAGTGGGCAGGGCCATTGTCTTCTGGGCATGGGGGGGCCGGGCCCCAGCTAGCTGGCATGGGTCACACCTGGGTCTTTGCAGCAAGCAAACAGCCTCTTCCTCCCTCCGCACCTCGGTGACCACACAGCATGTGGGGAAACTGAGGCACATATCATAGTCAGGGACAATGCTGTGAGCTCCCCTTCCAGCAGTGCCCCCGAGCCAGGAGCCCTCCGGTGCTGCGACCTACCCCCCAGCAGTGCCCTGCCCCCTCTCTCCGCTCCCAGGTGCGAGGAGGAGGACGTGGAGATGAACGAAGACGCCTACACGGTGCTGACGCGCATCGGGCTGGAGACCTCCCTGCGCTACGCCATGCAGCTCATCACCGCCGCCAGCCTGGTGTGCCGCAAGAGGAAGGTGAGGCCCGGACGCCTGGGTTCTATCCTGGCTCGGGGCGGGAGCCCAGACGCCTGGGTTCTATCCTTACTGAGGGGGGTGGGGGGGGAGAAGGGGGGCTTGGAGCCAGGACTCCTTGGTGGGGTTTCTCAGGGTGCCCCCCCACTCTGTGGGGTGCACGGGGCCCCTCTGACACCCACATGCTCCCCCACACCGGCAGGGCACGGAGGTGCAGGTGGAGGACATCAAGCGGGTGTATTCCCTGTTCCTGGACGAGTCCCGCTCCACCCAGTATATGAAGGAGTACCAGGACGCCTTCCTCTTCAACGAGCTCAGTGAGTGCTGGGGGGGCGGCAGGGGGGGGGCGGGCGTGGGGGGGTTGTGGGACAGGAGTACCAGGACGCCTTCCTCTTCAATGAGCTCAGTGAGTGCTGGGGGGCCCGGGGCCTGGGGGGGGGGTTGGGGGACAGGAGTACCAGGACGCCTTCCTCTTCAATGAGCTCAGTGAGTGCTGGGGGGGGGCAGGCGTGGGGGGGGGTTGTGGGACAGGAGTACCAGGACGCTTTCCTCTTCAATGAGCTCAGTGAGTGCTGGGGGGGGGGGGTGGGGGGCCGGGGTGGGGGGTTGGGGGACAGGAGTACCAGGACGCCTTCCTCTTCAATGAGCTCAGTGAGTGCTGGGGGGGGCGGGGGGCCGGGCGGGGGGGGTTGGGGGACAGGAGTACCAGGACGCCTTCCTCTTCAACGAGCTCAGTGAGTGCGGGGGGCGGGGGGCCGGGCGGGGGGGGGTTGGGGGACAGGAGTACCAGGACGCCTTCCTCTTCAACGAGCTCAGTGAGTGCTGGGGGGGGGGGGGGGGGGCTGGGTGTCGGGGGGCGGCCTGGGGGGCAGGACGTGGCCTGGGTGTCAGAGGCCAGGGGGGCTGAGGAGGGCAGCCTGGGGGGCAGGATGCATGGGGGGCAGGTGGGAGGGTTATAGAGGTCAGGTGCCCCAGCCCCTCTGCCGCAGCCACCAAATGGCGTCTCCCCCCCAGATAGGGGGCTACTGCTCAGTGGGGCAGACTGGGGGGTCTTGGCCCCACCCTCGTCGGACTTTCCCTCCCCCCTTCTAACCTTCTTTATCTCTTGCAGAGGGAGACACCATGGACACCTCATGATTCCCCCCCCCCACATCCTGACCCCCACCCATTTCCCCCAATCCAGCCCCTCCAGCCCTTCCCTTAATTTCTGATTTTGTAAAATAAACGTTTTCGAAAAATCTGATGAATGAGCCCGGACGCCTGGGTTCTGTGGTGGTTCTGGGAGGGGGCGGGGGGTCATATGGGGGACAGGGAGCCCGGACATTTGGGTTCTGTGCCTGGCTGTCGGAGGGGCCTCGGGTCTAGTGAGTGGGGGCAGAGGGGAGCCCGGACGCCTGGGTTCTGTGCCTGGCTCCGGGAGGGGGCGGGGGTCTAGTGAGTGGGGGGAGGGGGGAGCCCGGACGCCTGGCTTCTGTGCCTGGCTCTGGGAGAGGGCGGGGGTCTAGTGAGTGGGGGGAGAGGGGAGCCCGGACGCCTGGGTTCTGTGCCCGGCTCTGGGAGGGGGTCTAGTGAGTTGGGGGGTTCAGGAGCCCGGACGCCTGGGTTCTGTGCCCGGCTCTGGGAGGGGGTCTAGTGAGTTGGGGGGTTCAGGAGCCCGGACGCCTGGGTTCTGTGCCCGGCTCTGGGAGCGCAGTGGGGGCCGGTGGTCACAGCGAGGCCCTTCTCTGTCCCCCCGTACCACCCCCCCACACACACACTCACACGCGCGGAGCCGGGTGCCGTGGCCACGGCGTTTATTGCCCCCCCCGCCCCTAGGCGAAGCCCCCCCGGGCGCTGCAGAAGTCGGGCCCGATGCTGTGCACGGTGCAGTCGCTGGAGTCCATGGGGCAGAGGCTGCACTGGCAGCTCAGGGCCACGGGGAAGGTGAAGGCCGGGTCCACGCCGGGCGGGCAGCCGGGCAACGCCAGCGTCTCGTAGCGCACGGCCCGGTAGCCGCAGACGTGCTGCGGGACGGGCGAGAGCGCGCTCTTGTACACCGGCTCCTGCGGAGAGAGGGGTAGGGCAGGGGGGCAGGCGGCAACCCCCCCCGGGGCGTGTGCCCCCCTCCCGCCGGGCCCCCCCCCGCGCGCGGGGTCCCTGCCCGCCGGGCCCGCCCCGGCCCCGCCCTCACCTTGGTCTGGCAGTACCCGCTGCAGATGGCCGTGGCCACGGTGAGGCAGACGGGGCAGTCGTCCTTCTCGGCCGCGATGGTGGCGTTGACGGGCCGGCAGAACCGGCGCCCGCGGGCCGCCCCCAGGGCCCCCCCGGCCAGGAGCAGCAGAACCAGAGCCTGCAGCCCGCGCTGGGGGGAGAGAGAGAGAGCGGGGGGGCAGACGGGGCTGGCTCGGGGAAGGGGGGCACCGTCTGCTGGGTCCCGGACCCCCCCCCGCTGGGGCAGCAGGGATCCGAGCCCCCCCATGTGCCCGCACACCCCCTTGGCCAGCGTACGGCTCCCTGCCCCCCCGTCCCGCCCCCCCTCACCTGTGTGGGTCCCATGCTGGCGTCGGTGCTTGAGGAAATCAGCACCAGCCGTTCCCCGCTGCCCCTCTTATACCAGCAGCTCCTGCCCCCCCCCCCAGGGCCCACATCCCGTGGCCCCCCCACCCCGCTCCAGCTGTCAGCAGCGGGGAGCCAAGGCCACCGCCCCGGCACAGGGAGGGGGCGACGTCAAGGCTAACGTCACCAGGGCGCTCAGCCCACGCGGCCTGTCTGCCAGGGGCGAACCCAGGAGTCCGAGCACCCAGCCCCTTCGCCTGCCACAGCCCCTGGGGACTCCTGGGCTCTCTCCCCGGTTCTGGGAGGGGAGCTGGGGGTCAGAGTCGGGGTGGGAGCCAGGACTCCAGGGTTCTCTCCGGGCTGCGGGGGTGGGGTGGGGGGTGCAGAGCCGTTCACCCTCTCGGCTCATGTCTCCTTTGCCAAGGGCAACCTGGCGCCAGCTGTGTTTCCAGGTGAGAAATCCCCGCATCCTGCTGGCCTCAACAGCGGCGCCCCCGGACAAATCCCCCCCAAGGGCACAGGCAGGGCGGGGGACACCTGGGTCCTCTTCTGCGAACCCTGCCTGGCAGCCCCTCCCCCACTCCCAAAATAGAACCCAGGTGTCCTGGTGGCTGGGGGCAGAGAAGGGACCAGGCCTCGGCAAGCCCCCTGTACCCCAAGGAGGACAGACCAGAGAACACAGGGGTGATGGATCGTAGCATGTTGGGGGGCACAGTATGGGGGACATGGAGGGGCCCCTCAGACAGGCCCAGGCTTGCTGCTCCCATAACACTGGCTCTCGGTGCGGTACATCAGGGGCACTGCCAGGATCTGGGGCCCGGCCATGGGGGGGCAGACGGTGGGGGGCCGGGTTGGGGGGCCCTGGCCGCTGGGGGTGTGGTGGGGGGGCCCGTAGGACTCCTGCGCCAGGCTCAGTGCCCCCCGGTGTGGAACAGCAGGGGCCAGCATGGGTAGGCGGGGAGGGCGGGTGGGGCTGGGGAAGAGGCTGGGGTCGTGTGGGGGGCCGGGGGGCCGGAGGGGGGGCTCTGCATCCTTGCCCAGGGAGGAGTCTCTCAGGCCATGCCCCCAGGCCTTAGGGTGACCCTCAAACTGCCAGTAGGTGAGAGCGTCTTTCCGGGCATAGCCCTGCAGCTCCTGCCTGGGGGAGAGACAGGGGGGGGTGTCAAACCACGGGTCCTTCTGTCCCCCATCTCTGTCAGCCCTGCCCGCACCCCCCAACTCCTCCCTCTTGCAACAGGCCCCAGGCGTCCTGCCTCCCAGCCACGCTGCTCTAACCACCAGCCCCCACTCCCCTCCCAGAGCTGGGGAGAGAACCCAGGCGTCCTGCCTCCCAGCCCCCCTGCTCTAACCACCAGCCCCCACTCCCCTCCCAGAGCTGGGGAGAGAACCCAGGCGTCCTGCCTCCCAGCCCCCCTGCTCTAACCACCAGCCCCCACTCCCCTCCCAGAGCTGGGGAGAGAACCCGGCGTCCTGCCTCCCAGCCACCTGCTCTAACCACCAGCCCCCACTCCCTTCCCAGAGCTGGGGAGAGAACCCAGGCGTCCTGCCTCCCAGCCACCCTGCTCTAACCACCAGCCCCCACTCCCTTCCCAGACGGGGAGAGAACCCAGGCGTCTGCCTCCCAGCCCCCCTGCTCTAACCACCAGCCCCCACTCCCCTCCCAGAGCTGGGGAGAGAACCCAGGCGTCCTGCCTCCCAGCCCCCCTGCTCTAACCACCAGCCCCCACTCCCCTCCCAGAGCTGGGGAGAGAACCCAGGCGTCCTGCCTCCCAGCCACGCTGCTCTAACCACCAGCCCCCACTCCCTTCCCAGAGCTGGGGAGAGAACCCAGGCGTCCCGACTCCCAGCCCCACCCCCCCAAGTGGTGGGGTCTCTCACGGGGTGAAGGCGCGGATGTCCCGGCTGGTGACGGAGACGTAGGGGTCCAGCCGGCTCAGAACCGCCCCGTCGCGGACGTAGAAGACAGATCCTGCCAGGGGCTTGTTCTCCGTGCTGGCCACCATGGACTGTGGGGGCGCGGGGGAGATGGAAATTAGGGTTCACCCCATTCTGGGGATTCCGGCCCCTCCCCCCACCCCATCTGCCATTTCCCTGGGAACCCCCACCCCATCGGCCAGCGCCGCCCTCCCGGGGAACCCCCACCCCAGGGAACCCCAGCCTCTTCCCCTCCCAACCCGGGGAGCCTCCCCGCCTGATCTCCGGGTCCCTACCTTGGAGGCACCGTCGCTGTGGTGGGCGGCCAGGATGAAGGGCTGGGGGCCGGCGTGGTGGGCGGGCTCGGGGGGCAGGTTGGGCCAGCCGCAGAACCGGTGCCGGGTCTCGCTGGGCCGGCCCCCCGGGGTCAGCGGGACCCGCCAGGAGCGGAGCTGCAGCTGCGGGCAAAGCGCCGGGAGGGGAGTGGGGGTCAGTGCAGGGGAGAGGGAGACAGGCCTCCCCTTGTTCCTAGGAGCCCCCACGATCTATGACCTTCCTCCCCCTGCCCCCAACAGCTGGCGAGGGGGGACCCTAAAGCAGATCCCAAAAGCCACCCGGCGGGGGGGGGGGGAGACAATGTGTGACCCTCAAATGCTTCCACAGTCACAGCCACCCCCACCCCCACCCCCAGCCCCCCAGTCTCCAGCTCTAGGCCCCACTCCCCTCCCCGAGCCATGGAGAGAACCCAGGCGTCCTGGCTTGTGCCTTGTCTCGGAGGTCCTTGTTGCAGTGGACTCTCCCCAGCGGGGCGGGCAGGGGGTAGCCGGGCTGGCCCAGGACCCCTCCGTGGGTTTTCACGTCATGGCAGAGCCCCGTGGTGGTCGCCAGGCGCCGGATCAGCTCTTCCCGCAGGGGCCGCTCCGCGCCGGGGGGCAGGGGCTCATGCCCTGTGGACTGGTGGGGAGACAGAGAGCCTGTAAGCCCCCACCCCACAGAGCTGGGGAAAAGAACCCAGGCATCCTGGCTCCTGCCCTACCCCCGCCCCCGCTCTAGCCACTAGACCCCCCTCCTCAAGCCAGGAGGGAACCCAGGTGTCCAGGCTGCCAGCCCCCTCCCCTCCAACCACTAGGCCACATTCCCTGCCCAGAGCCAAGATAGAACCCAGGCGTCCGAGCTCCCAGGCCCCCGCTCTAACCACTAGACCTCACCTACCGCCCAGAGCCAGGATAGAACCCAGGCATCCTGGCTCCTGCCCCCCCCACCTCCACTCTAGCCACCGGACCCCCCACCCCAAGCCCGGAGGGAACCCAGGTGTCCGGGCCGCCGGCTGGCACTCACGCGGGCAGCGGGGGGCGGGAAGGGCTGTGGGGGCCGGTTCTCCAGCCCCACCCCACTGCTGGTGAGGGGCCAGTCCCGGCTGTGGTGCCATCGGGCCTCTTCGACGCTCCAGCCCAGGTCGGTGCCCGCAGGCGTGGGCAGGACGGTGCCCGCCATGCCAGCCTGTGCCCCAGCCCTGCCCGCGCGGGGGGGGGTGTTTGTGACTCGTTACCATGGAGCTGGAACCCAGCACATGTGACCTGGCGCAGGGCCCAGGGAGCAGCTGGCAGCCCGGATGCCTGGGTTCTCTCCTGGCTCTGGGAGGGGAATGGGGTCTAATGGGTAGGGTGGGGCTTAGTGCTAGGATGCCTAGGTTCTCTCCCCAGCTTGGGGGGGTGGGGGGGTTGACAAAGTGGGGGCTTTTCATAGTGTTGAGCATGAACATGGTGTGTGCCTCAGTTTCCCTGTGTGCTGGGTGTGTAACGGGGGGGCGGCTGAGGGGTGTCGTTGCTGCAGGGGTCCACGTGTGACCTCGCCCAGCAGCCGGGACCCCGACAACGGCCTGGAGATGGGGGGCCCAGCAACTGGTGCCCGGGGGGCCCCCCAAGCTTGGGAGCACCCGATTCCAGCTATTGGGATGACAAGGGGCTGAGGGGAGGGGCCCAGGTGACCTGCTGGCCGGAGGGAGGACAAAGGGGGGACTGTGGCGAGATGATATGGGGCCCGGCTGGAACGGGGGGGCTGTGGGGAGGGGATATGGGGCCCAGCTGGAAGGAGGGAGGGCTGTGGGGAAGAGGATATGGGGCCTAGCTGGAAGGGGGGGTGTGGGGGGAGGGGATACAGGGTCCGGCTGCAAGGAGTGGCTGTGGGGAGGGTATATAGGGGGCTCGGCTGGAATGGGGGGGGCTGTGGGGGAGGAGATACGGGGCTTGGCTGCGGGGAGGGGGGTGACGAAGCAGCACTGTACTTATTCCTCTGAATATTGTGAGGGTGCCTCAGTTTCCCCTGTGCAGTTCTTAAGTCTCTAGGGGGTGGGATAAGGGTGTATGATCCTTGCAGAGCCCTAGAGGGCAGGTGTGTGCAGGGGGCTGGACACAGAGAATGGCCGACACCCTGTTTCCTGGCCACTGAGGGCCTGGGCCCTTCCCCCCCTGCCAGGTGAGAGCTGAAGGGTTGGAGAACAAAGGGGTCAGGTGGCCTCCTGGCCCGGGAAAGGGACAAAGCCCAGAGGAGGGGGTTGGGGGGGGGTTAGGGGGCTGGGGAGAGTTTCAGTTTGGGGCTGGCTGGGACATGGAGTGAAGGGCAGACGTGGTTGTCTGGCTCACTGCCCCCCAAAATGGACCCAGCTGAGGGGTCCCGTTCTCTGCACCTACAAGCTCTGTGTTAGACCATGTCCCTGTCGTCTAATAAACCTTCTGTTTTACTGGCTGGCTGAGAGTCACGTCTGACTGCGGAGTTGGGGGGCAGGACCCTCTGGCCCCCCCAGGACCCCGCCTGGGCGGACTCGCTGTGGGAAGCGCACAGAGGGGCAGGGGAGGCTGGAGGCTCGGGGGTCAGCCCCAGGAAGGTGGAGCCGGGGGAGCTGTGTGTCCTGCAGACAGGCTGCTCCTGGAAAGGAGACTCCCCCAGGGTCCTGCCTGGCTTCGTAGGGGGCAGTTCCAGAGCATCGCCCCGGGGACTCCGTGACACCCACCCTGTTGTTAACAGTTGGGACCCCCTGCTGCAGGACACAGCCCGGCCAGAGTTGGGATTGCAGGGGTGTGGGGCGGTTTGGGGGCCAATTACTCTCCTCCACACACACCCCAGAGAAGGGGCGGGGCAGTTAACAGGGCTGGATGGGTCCATGGGTCTGATTCTGCCCCAGGGGTGTGGGGGGGCAGGTACCAGATCAGGGAGCCCTTGAATATCCCCATCCCTGCCACAAGATGGTGCCAAACCCCCAGGAATCCTCCCAGCCCCCCTCCGCCCTCAACCTGGGGCATGTGGGGGGCCAAACCACCGCCCTCCCCCAGGGGAGCAAAGAAGGGTCAGTCAGGAGGTGTACCTCCCTCAGCTGGGGGGGTGGGCGAGCTGCGGGTCGGGAGTGAGGGGCACCCGTGCAGGGCTGTGGGGTGCACTTTGATCGCTGGCCGTGGGACCCATGGGAATCACAGGGCTCCCGGACTCCTGTGGGGTGGGTGCCCCACATGTGGATCCCGAGGGTCATTTCTCTGGGGGTCTTCCCCCCCCCACGCCGGCAAACAGGCCGTGACCCCAGTGAACGACGCGGAGACTCTGGGTTTGTTTCCTTTGGGTCTTTTCCAGGTACAAGGAACCGTCGCGAGGGTCGCGTGGGGGGGGGGTGCAGGGAATAAGTTAATTCGGGGGGGGCGGAACGGGACGGAGTCGGATCAGAACCAGGGGGAGGGGGGAGTAATAAATATGGGAAGAAACAGTGAACAAAGACACAAAAGGCAGAAACCCCCCGGAGGCCACCTTGCCCAGCCCCACACCTCAGCCTCTGAGCCTGGCCCCCAGCCCCTGGGCTGACCCACGGCGCCCAGCCCCACACCTCAGCCTCTGAGCCTGGCCCCCAGCCCCTGGGCTGACCCACGGCGCCCAGCCCCACACCTCAGCCTCTGAGCCTGGCCCCCAGCCCCTGGGCTGACCCACGGCGCCCAGCCCCACATCTCAGCCTCTGAGCCTGGCCCCCAGCCCCTGGGCTGACCCACGGCGCCCAGCCCCACATCTCAGCCTCTGAGCCTGGCCCCCAGCCCCCCCACACCTCACCTCTAGCCTGGCCCCCAGCCCCTGGGCTGACCCACGGCGCCCAGCCCCACACCTCAGCCTCTGAGCCTGGCCCCCAGCCCCTAGTATGACCCATGGTGCCCACAGCCCCCAGCCCCACACCTCAGCCTCTGAGCCTGGCCCCAGCCCCTGGGCTGACCCACGGTGCCCAGCCCAGCAGCTGAGCCCCCCCCCCACCTCACTCTGAGCCTGCCCACCCCTTGTCCCACACCCCCAGCCCCACAACTCACCTCTCAGCCTCCCCAGCCCTGGCTGACCCACGTGCCCAGCCCACACTGACTCTACTTGTCCCCCAGCCCCCCCACACGCCCCAGCCCCACACCTCAGCCTCTGAGCGTGTCCCCCAGCCCCTGGACTGACCCATGGTGCCCACAGCCCACAGCCCTACAACTCAGCCTCTGAGCCTGGTCCCCAGCCCCTGGGCTGACCCAGGGCACCCAGCCCCACACCTCAGCTCTGAGCTTGTCCCCCAGCCCCGGGGCTGACCCACAGCGCCCCCAGCCCCACACCTCAGCCTCTGAGCGTGTCCCTCAGCCCCAAGGCTGACCCAGGGCACCCAGCCCCACACCTCAGCCTCTGAGCTTGTCCCCCAGCCCTGGGGCTGACCCACAGCGCCCCCAGCCCCACACCCCAGCCCCAGGGCTGACCCACGGCGCCCCCAGCCCCCCAGCTCGGCCTCTGAGCGTGTCCCCCAGCCCCGGGGCTGACCCACGGCGCCCCCAGCCCCCCAGCTCGACCTCTGAGCGTGTCCCCCAGCCCCGGGGCTGACCCACGGCGTCCATGGGGCCGGCCGGCGGCAGGCCTGAGTTAGTGTCGGAGGCGCTCCGGTTCCCAAGCAGAGCCCGGCGGGGCGGGTGCCGGGGGAGGGGGGGGGGCTCCGTCCCTCCAGCCGCGAGCGGGGGCCCCCCCCAGCTACGTCCGCCCGGCGCGGTTCAGCAGGGTGCAGACGCAGGCCGTGTCGAGGCGGATCCACCGCCAGCCCACCCGCTTGTCCGCGTCGGCCGTCAGGGCCCGCACGTAGGACTGCTTGGCCTTGCACTCGGACAGCCAGTGGCGCCGGTCCACGCCCCGGCACCCGCCCGCCGTCCCGCCCGCCGGCTTGCACTTGGTCTCGAAGAAATACTGCTTGAGCGGCCCGGTGAGCGTCGGCACCTCGGGGAGCACGGTCACCACCTGGCCCCGGACGTCCACGGCCGAGCGCTTGCCGGTCACCCAGATGCTGACGCTGTCGCACACCGAGAGCTCGCCCCGGCGGGCCGCCGGCCCCCCCTCGGCCCGCCGGGCCCGCCGCGTCCCGTTGGCCGGCCCCGCCCGCGCCCCCGGCACCTCCTCCAGCAGCAGCAGCAGGGGGGGCCCGGCGGGGGCTCGGCTGGCCAGGGCCACGCGGGGGGACGACAGCTCCCAGTCGCCCAGGGAAGGGGGCGGCGCGGCCCAGGGGACCCCGGCGTCCGGGCCGGCGGGGAAGGGGAGGCGGAGTGGGGCGGCTTGGAGGGCGCAAAGGAACCAGGTGACCATAGCCTGGAGCCGAAGGAGCATCACCGCGGGGACCTGGGGGAAAAGGGGGGGGGTTAGAGCTGACAGGCCCTGCCCCTCCCCCATTCACCCTCCCACCCCCAGCACCGAGACACAGCCCTGGCCGCGGGTGGGGAGCGAGGGGCACTGGCAGGGCGGGGCCGGCGGGGGGCTGCAGGTGGGGAGCGAGGGGCACCGGCAGGGCGGGGCCGGCGGGGGGCTGCGGGTGGGGAGCGAGGGGCACCGGCAGGGCGGGGCCGGCGGGGGGCTGGGGGTCGGGAGCGAGGGGCACCGGCCGGGCGGGGCCGGCGGGGGGCTGGGGGTCGGGAGCGAGGGGCACCGGCAGGGCGGGGCCGGGGGGGCTGGGGGTCGGGAGCGAGGGGCACCGGCCGGGTGGGGCCGGCGGGGGGCTGGGGGTCGGGAGTGAGGGGCACCGGCAGGGCTGGGCAATCAGGGGGCTGGGGGTCGGGAGTGAGGGGCACCGGCAGGGCGGGGCCGGCGGGGGGCTGGGGGTCGGGAGTGAGGGGCACCGGCAGGGCGGGGCAATCAGGGGGCTGCGGGTGGGGAGCGAGGGGCACCTGGGTGTTACCTGCCGTATCAGCGTCTCCCGGAGCATGGGGGGGCCAGTTCCCTGCAGACCCAGCCCTGGGCTCGATTCATGACCCGCCTGCGCCTCGTCCTGACCCCCCCGGTCGCTGGGCAATTCCTACCAGGTGCTGTGTCCCTTCGGTGCGATCCCAGCCCAGAGCCCCGCACCCCTGGGGGGCTCCCGGCCCCGCTGCTCCATGGCTCGCAGTGGGGAGGCTCAGGGGCAGCGCAGGGCTGGTGCCCCCTCCCTGGGGGGCTCGATGCTCATGATGGAGGCATCTGGTTGGTGCGGGACAAGAGACTCGGGGTAGGTTTGGGTCTCCGCAGCTGTGGAGTGGGGAGTCGCTCAAAAGACCTGAGGGGAAAGAGAAATAGATACGATTAATGTTAACTGGGAAGAGAACCCAGGAGTCCCGGCTCCCAGACCCCCTGCTCCAACCACTAGACCCCACTCCCCCATGCATGCCGATTTTAGGGAGGTGCTGAGGTCTAGAACATGGGGAGCCTAGAACCTCTATCCCGAGCTGTCGGGCCAATGTGATCTAGAACAGGTGCCGACACACTGCCGGGCCTAGAATTTGCCCCAGCCACGTGGATTGGCTCTAGGACGTGCCCCTGGTCAGACCCGGCTGTAGAAAGTGCCCCCCCATTCTGCCCCAAGGCACACAGCAGGGAAAGAACCCGCATCACGGCCTGGGGGGGTCACGAACAGCCCCAAATTCCTCCGGTGCCGAGAACCCAGACCTGAGATTGCACTGGGGTCTGGAGCAGCCATCGAAGGGACAGTGTGATCTAGAACACGATGCCGGCCCTGGGCTCTGAAACCCGCTGGGTCTAGCCCCTCGGTGGTTAAAAAGCTGACACCAGGCTCTGGAACCGGGATCTAGACCATGGCAACCCTCCCCCTTCCCAACGTGACCCTTTAGCGCCGAGCACCGGCTCTTTATGCCTCCCGGTTCTCGAGCGCGGAGCCCCTGGGTTCTAGGTCCCTCCAGCTCCCAGCCCCTCCGTCCCCCCAGTGACAGCTGCAGATTCCAGAACAGGCAGCGGCTGGCGGGAGGGGGCACAGGGTTGGGATCCAGATGCAGGGACATGGGGGGAGGGGACGCAGCCCTGGGGGGGCGCCTAATGCACTCGCCTTGGAAACCGAAACCTGAAAGGTTTCTGCTCCCAGCCCTTCCCCCACCTGCCCCTCTCCCACAGACAGCCTCCCGCATCCCTGCAATGAGCTGCCCATTCTCATCCCCCTGGGGGGTGGCAGGCTGGGATTGAGTGCTCAGAGCAGGGGGGGCTGGGAGCCAGGACGCCTGGGTTCTCTCCCCAGCTCTGGGAGGGGAGTGGGGTCTAGTGGTCAGAGCAGGGGGGGCTGGGAGCCAGGACGCCTGGGTTCTCTCCCTGGCTGTGGCGGGGGGGGGGGAGCTAACAGAATATAACCAGTTTTTAGAGAGATTAGATTCTGACCCTGAGGCTATTTGCATAAAGTGTTACCCACAATCCCCGGCGCCGTGACCTCCTGTGCGGGAACCACCCCCCCGCCCCCCGGCTGCTGAGCAGGTATGTGCAGCTTAGCCAGACGTGCACCAACCTGCCGGGGCAGGGAACAGCCAGCACCGCAGTGCCCCCCACTCCCGACCCACAGCCCCCTGCCAGCCCGGCCCGGGCTCCCCCCAGCCCCAATGGTGCCCCCCACTCCCGACCCGCAGCCCCCTGCCAGCCCGGCCCGGGCTCCCCCCAGCCCCAACGGTGCCCCCCACTCCCGACCCGCAGCCCCCTGCCAGCCCGGCCCCGGGCTCCCCCCAGCCCCAACGGTGCCCCCCACTCCCGACCCGCAGACCCCTGCCAGCCCGGCCCCGGGCTCCCCCCAGCCCTGCCGGTGCCCCTCACTCCTGATCTGCAGCCCCCTGCTGTGTTCCAACAGCAAAGGCCTTTCAAGGGGCAGGTTGGGGTCTCTCTGAGCTTATTTGGGTCTTGGGGTTTGGAGGACCCCCGTCCAGTCTGGATCCCCCCCTTTTCCCATCACTGGAGCACCACAGAGCTTCCACCTTGCCCAGGGAACAAGGACGTTCCCATCCCTGGCTCTGGGAGGGGAGTGGAGCCTAGTGGTTAGAGCAGGGGGGGCTGAGAGTTGGACTTCTTCTAATCCACTAGCCCCCCGGCTCTAACCACTAGGCCCCGCTCCTCTCCCCCTGCCAGGGAGAGAACCCAGGAGTCCTGTCTCCCAGCCTCCCCGGCTCTAACCGCTAGACCCCACTCCCCTCCCGCAGCTGGGAAGAGGACCCAGGCATTCGGCACCCCGCCGGCAGGCTGTGCTGGCCATGGGCAGCGCGGCTGGTACGTTCCCTGGCTCTTGGCTAATGGAATCCAGACCCCGCAGCATCTTCCCGGCTCCTTCATCGGCCCAGCTACTTCGCGTTGCAAGCGGCTCCTGCCCCTAGGTGCACGGGTTTCCCCTGCCCTGGGAGCTCCCTGCCCCCGCCCCCTCCTCGTTCACAAGCAGCTCCCCCCCATCCACGGGGCATCCCCCAGCCCCCCAACCTCTGCAAAGAGCACATCTGCCAGTGCCCCTCACTCCTGACCCGCAGCCCCCTGCTAGCCTGGCCCTGGGCTCCCCCCAGCCCTGCTGGTGCCCCTCACTCCCGACCCGCAGCCCCCTGCTAGCCCAGCCCTGGGCTCCCCAATCCTGCTGGTGCCCCTCACTCCCGACCCGCAGCCCCCCTGCTAGCCCAGGCCTGGGCTCCCCCCAGCCCTGCTGGTGCCCCTCACTCCCGACCCGCAGCCCCCTGCTAGCCCGGCCCTGGGCTCCCCCCAGCCCTGCTGGTGCCCCTCACTCCCAACCCGCAGCCCCCTGCTAGCCCGGCCCTGGGCTCCCCAGCCCTGCCGGTGCCCCTCACTCCCAACCCGCAGACCCCCCCCATTCCACCCACCTGACGCTGTAAGGCCCCTGTGCAGACGGACGGACAGACGAGGGCTGGCCGGTCCCCACGCCGTTGATCCTTCCCCCACGCGCCTTCGGGTTTCAACATGAGAAGTTAATCAGCCGTCGCAGCGCGGGGCTGGAATTTGTGTTTCCGGGCTGCCAGGGAATGGCAGGCCGGGGGGGGGAGGGAGCGCGTGCGGGGGGGGGATACTTCCCCCTTCCATCACTGAGCTATTGGGGCCCGGCGCGGCGGGGTGGGGACCGCCAGCAGGGAGGGCGAGGGGCCGGGCGGGGAGCTGGGGAAGGGGGGCTGGAGCCAGGTAGACAGGCAGCCTGCAGCCAGAGAGGGGGATGGTGGAGATCTGCGGGGGGGGGGGAGGCAGGAGAGACCCCCCCTTTTCCCCGCATGCCCCTCACCTGATCCAGGTCTGGCTTCAATTACGCGCACGTGTCCCCCCCACCCTCTCTCCCAGCCACCTAGACATGTGTGTGGGGAGGTAACCGGCTCCTTTGTGTGTGAGCCCAGCCCTGGGCCAGGGGTGTGTGTGTGTGTCTGTAAGGGGCAGATCCCAATATCAGCCACCCCCCCCCCCAGGGGCAATCCAGAGTCACACACACACACCCCCCGCCGTCTGCCATGAGGGCAGGGCCGGTTTCTGATCTCAATTCCCCGCAGGGTCAATCCGGAGTCACTCCTGTTCACAGTGGGGTCAGGGCAGGGTTCTGATCTCAGCTCCATCCGGGGTCAATCTGGAGTCACTCCTGTTCACATTGGGGTCAGGGCTGGGTTCTGATCTCAGCTTCATCCGAGGTCAATCCAGAGTCACCCCGGGCTGCAATGGGAGCAAGGGTGAGCTCTGATCTCAGCCCCCCCACCCCCTGGTTGTCATCCCCCAGCCAGGCTGTGGCCCAGCCCCAAATCCCAAGCCCTGTTTCGCGCTGAGCCAGACTCCCCCTGCACGGTGCTGGAGCCGGATACACTCAGGTCCCTGGCAAGGCTGATCCACGACCCGCAGCCCGGCAGGCCCAGCCAGCGGCAGGTGGGTGCAGAGGAGGGGAGGGGGGAGATACAAAGACTTCAGATTAGCTCAGGTTGCAAAAATGCAGTCGGGAAAAGGAAGGAATCTGGCTTATCCCCCCCCCCACAACAGCCAGGCTCCCCCCACACCCTGGGGCTGAATGGGAGCCGGTGCCCCCTAGAGGGAACAAGCCCCATGCCCCATTCTCCCCCCCCCCCCTGCACCCCGCCCCAGCCCTCAACAAAGCAGCCACCTGCTTTCAGTCCCAGCCACCTGCTTGGAGGCCCCAACCCTGCCCGGGCCCCCGCTTGTCACTTCCCTTTTGTGCTCTGAACACCGGCCCTTGTTCCTGCGGTCAGGAGCCAGGAGACACTAAGCAGGATAGAAACCCTCTTTGCAGACAATGCAGCGCCAAGCCGGGATGAAGCGGGGGCGGGGAGGAGGGCCGGGATCGTCAGCGGTTCAAAAAAGTCAACCTAGGAAACTCAGTGCAAGCAAAAACCTGGTTCAAAGAACCCCAGAGCACCCGACAACTGGGAAATGCCGGTGCGACGTTTGCAAAGACCCACCGAGGCCACGGTACCAGCGTCTGTCGTTGGAAAAAGCCCTGGGAAATTCCACTCCAAAGACTCCGTTGAACCGACCGTCCGAGCGCTCGGAGATGTGGAGAGGTTGCAAATGAATGAAACCGCCACGTCACGGCAACGACGCGCCTTCTGCGAGCGGTGTGTTTATCTCCCCCCCGCCAATTGAAAAACCGAGGAAATCACCGGCCCAAAAACTTCGTTAGAAAAAAAAGCCACGCTTACAAAACACTCGGCAGGCTGAGAGTTAGAAGTGGCAGATTAACTCCCCATCCGTTTTCTGTGCTCTGCTGGTGTTTGGCTGGTAGTTCCCTTTTGGCTGTCATTTTTACTTCCGCAACCCTAGGCACCGGCGTACGAAAATGTGTTTAAAAGACCGTTGGCGCAGGAAAGTGACAGCAGAAGTGAAGGGGACTCCCAGCGGCTGGATGGTTTCTATTCGTTTTTCCCCATCCACTTTTCATTTAAAAAACCAACAAACCTAGGAAATCCCGAGGCCAAAACATTGTGAAAGGAACCTCAGAGCTGCAAAGTGAAGTCAGGAAAACGGCAGAGTAGCTCGCTGGCGGCAGAACTGGCCTGCTCTGCTCCTGTCTGGCCAGGTTTTTATTTACTTGCTTGGTTTCTTTGTTTTTTAGTCTTTTTTCCCCTCTTTTCTTAAAAAAAACAAAACAAACCCAAACCCATAGGAAGTTCCCTGCCAAACACTTTGTTATAAGGAGATTTAGGCTGCAAAGCGACAAGACGCCGGGAAATGCCAGTGTGGAGGGGGCAGATTAATTCCCAGTCTCTTTGGCACGGTCTAGGCTGGCCTCACCTCGCTGTATTTCTCCCCATGTGCGTTTCGCCCTCTCCCTGTGTGGCAGGGCGGGGGGAGCTGTGCATTTCAATGCAGGGGGGGCGGGGGGGTGAGTGCTTCTCTTGTGGAAGGGGTTGTGTGGGTGGGGGGATGGGATGTGAACGCAGCAGGACGTGTTCTGTTGGTGGGTGCGGTGGGATGTCTAGGTATATTTGTGTGTGTCCCTATTGTGGGTTGGATCGGCTGGGGCGTGTGTGAGCTGTTGGGGTGTAGGGGCGCTGGTGTTCTTGTAGTGTGTTCAATTGGGGGGGACCCGGAGAACCCCTCAATGGCAGTTGTTCTGTAACAGGACCTCCTGTCCGAGGCCTGACAAACTCACCGCACTTAACGCCGTACTTCAAGAGGTTGTGGGAAAACCCTTTTGCAGCCAGGAGCCAACCAAAGGGGCCACCCGGGTTGCTGCAGGCAGGAGGCAAGCGAGACACGTCTCTCTGGGAATCCAGCCTCGCTGGGCAGCCCTGTGTCCATGCTGGGGGCGGTGGGGGTGGTACATCCTACTCAGACCCCCCCGAGCCAGGACCTACTGCTGTTGCCAGCCTGCGTGCTGGCCCCCAACGTTACCACGCGTCCGCCCTGCCTGTCCAAAGGTGGCCTGGCTCCTGGCCCCCATCCTCCAGCTCCGCAGAGACACGTCCCGCCAGCGGCCGGCCCCTAGCAGAGACGGTGAAATCCACGGCCTTGTCCAGCCGGGAGGGGGATGTCCCCAAAGAGCCGAGGCGCCACTGGCCACGAATCAGGGGCCGGGGTGGGCGCCAGACTGGCTCCCCCCCCCTCCCAGATTATATTCCCCCAAAGGCCTTGTTTGCTCCCCAGCGGCAGGACGGGACAGTACACCTGCCTTTGGGAAAGGGCTCCTGGCCCGCTCCGGCTGGCTGTTCGGGGACGTCGTTCAGCCAGTGCCCCGGCCAGTTCGGTCTCTGCGAAGCGTGGTCGGATTTTGGTTTCTGGGTAACCCTCTGGCGTCACCGTGACCAGTTCGTCCGACTGCCCCACAGCCCTGCCCCGAACCCCTCCCCGTCCCCGGGCACCCCCTCGCAGCGCCCCCTCGCCGCCCGCCAGGGCCTGTGCTGGGATTCGTGTGGATTATTTCGTAGCCCTCTGGGGATGATGTTTTGACAGATTCACAGTGAGGCATCTCCCCCGTACACACATGTTAAACCACCTGCAGGAGTTGGGGGTAGGGGGTAGACTGGGCCGGGGGGAACAGGGGGCTGCGGGTCGGGAGTGAGGGGCACCGGCAGGGCTGGGGGGGGTCAGGGCTGGGCTAGCAGGGGCTGTGGGTCGGGAGTGAGGGGCACCGGCAGGGCTGGGGGGAGCCCAGGGCCGGGCTGGCAGGGGGCTGCGGGTCGGGAGTGAGGGGCACCGGCAGGGCTGGGGGGGGTCAGGGCTGGGCTAGCAGGGGCTGTGGGTCGGGAGTGAGGGGCACCGGCAGGGCTGGGGGGTCAGGGCCGGGCTGGCAGGGGCTGTGGGTCGGGAGTGAGGGGCACCGGCAGGGCTGGGGGGGGTCAGGGCTGGGCTAGCAGGGGCTGTGGGTCGGGAGTGAGGGAGACCGGCAGGGCTGGGGGGAGCCCAGGGCCGGGCTGGCAGGGGGCTGCGGGTCGGGAGTGAGGGGCACCGGCAGGGCTGGGGGGGGTCAGGGCCGGGCTGGCAGGGGCTGTGGGTCGGGAGTGAGGGGCACCGGCAGGGCTGGGGGGGGGTCAGGGCTGGGCTAGCAGGGGCTGTGGGTCGGGAGTGAGGGAGACCGGCAGGGCTGGGGGGAGCCCAGGGCCGGGCTGGCAGGGGGCTGCGGGTCGGGAGTGAGGGGCACCGGCAGGGCTGGGGGGAGCCCAGGGCCGGGCTGGCAGGGGGCTGCGGGTCGGGAGTGAGGGGCACCGGCAGGGCTGGGGGGGGTCAGGGCCGGGCTGGCAGGGGCTGCGGGTCGGGAGTGAGGGGCACCGGCAGGGCTGGGGGGGACAGGGCCGGGCTGGCAGGGGGCTGTGGGTCGGGAGTGAGGGGCACCGGCAGGGCTGGGGGTGTCAGGGCCGGGCTGGCAGGGGGCTGCGGGTCGGGAGTGAGGGGCACCAGTTAAGGACCCAGACCCTCCTAGGGAATCCAGGGAGGCGGTTTCCATGGCGCCCCAGGGAGCCCCCCCCGTTACCATGACGAATGAGGTCAGTTTCCTTCCCCATCCAGGGCGGAAACAGCCCCTGGGACCTGAGTTTCCTCCCTGCAGGGCCCCATCCCCCCACCCCAGCTGGGGGCTCTGACCTCTGACCTCCAAACCCAGAGCACTGTGTAAGCAGAGGTGGCCGAGGGATCCCGGCACCCCACGGGGTCTCCCCAACCCCCAGAGGGGCTGAGTCCGAGTGCCGGGCGAAGGGTCCCCATTACACAGCTTCCCTGCAGCAGTGCCCCCAGCAGGGGGTGCTCTCCCCCGGCAGGAAGGGATTCGAGCACTAGGGGGTGCGGGGCTGCGGGGAGCAGGGCAGGGGAGTCGGGGGGGGGCTGGGGTTCAGGGGGCAGGGTGGGGGTCATTGGGGGCTTTGGGCTGCAGGGAGTGGGGCGGGGGGTTCAGCGGGGGGTGCTGGGCTGCGGGGAGCAGGACGGGGCTCAGCGGGGGGCACTTGGGTGTGGGGAGCGGGACGGGGGGCTCAGCGGGGGGCGCTGGGCTGCGGGGAGCGGGGCGGGGGGCTCAGCGGGGGGTGCTGGGCTGCGGGGAGTGGCTCCGGAGGGGGCTGTGAGAGGGAATCCCCAGCGGCTGGAGGGGTGCAGGGTCTCAGACACACAGTTCTGATCCCAGCAGGCTGAGGAACCCCGACATGGTACCTCCCAGCCAGATGTGCTTCCCCCCTCCCCACTCACCTCCGGGGCTGCCCAGATGTTCTGCAGATGCTGTGAGAAACCTCCGGCTTCCAAACCTGCTCATTGCCTCAGGGCCTCCCTCCCCCTCCCCCGCCAGCCCCACAGCCACTAGGGACTCGGGGAGGGGAGTGGGGAGTAATGGGTTACAGCGGCGGGGGGGGGGCAGGAGGCTGATCTGGATTTGAGTAACCCCCAGGCCCCCACCCAGATCCACTTATCCAGGGGACCAGTGATGGGCCCCACCTGCTGTGGGTCACGGCTTTCACCCCTGCCATCCCCTGGTCTGGGGCAGGAGGAGGGAAGGGTGGGCACTGCTGTGGGGAAGCTTGCAGCACTGAGCCCCCTGACTGAACAGTGCTGGGACCCCCGGGGTTCTGGGTCCTGGTTCCTTCCCTGCCCCAGCTCAGCTGGTTACTCCCCCCCTGCCCCCCAGGTAATGACCCCCGCCAGGCAGACCAGGAACGGCAGGGTTGGGGGGGGCAATGTCGGGTCTTTATGGCCGGAAATCACATTCGGGCCAGTAAAAGCACCAGACGCAGGAATAGGGTAGGGGGAGTGGCAGCTGGGGGGACCTGGCAGCCAGGACTCCTGGGTTCTCTCCCTGGCTCTGGGAGGGGAGGGGGGTCTGGTGGTTAGGGAGGGTGAGGGGGGTGCCCCCAGCTGGGGGGGGGGCCACCACAGGAACTGAAACAGGCACAGCAGTAAATTAGCCCAGATGAGGACTGGAGCGATCAACACCCATTACCTAGCGATCCCCATGCACCCCCCTCCCTCCACTCCCCTTTCCCCCTCCCCCCACCCCATCCAGTTACCCCCATCACCCCCCACTCCCCTCACATGCCCATCTATCTATCCCCATCTATCCCCCTCTTGCTCTCTATCTTGGGGGGCAGATCTCGGCTGACGTGCCCATGGGGCACCGAGGCCGGCGGGTTAGGATGGGGGGGGCCCAGCCGGGTGGGGGCTCGTGCTGCCTGGATCTGCCATGGCCATTGGCGGGGCCTCACGCCCTCCTGCCCTGCTTGGCCCGCCTCTCTCCCTGTCCGTCTGTGTGTGCCTGCCTCTGGCCACTCCCTGCCCCCCCCTTAATCTCCCCACCCCCCACCTGTGCCGGGCAGGGGCACAAACTGGCACCTGCATCTGCCCCATGGGGCGACCCACCGTTCTCCCCGTGCCCCCCGCCAGGCCACGCTGCTGTGCCTTTAAATACCCCCCTCCCGCTGGCCTCCGGCATCCCGGCTATTTCGCCAGCCTAAATTTAAACCCTGCCACCTCAGCAGGACAGACGGAGGGACCCCCCGCCCAGCAAAGAGCAGGGAAGGAATCAGTTACCCCGGATGCCCTCAGCTCCCCTCCCTGCCCCGGCACCAGGCCAGGCTGCAATGAACTCCTGGGGTCCCTTCATCGCGGCTTGGCCAATTTACCCCAGCGGAGGGGGAGGGGGAGTGCGGGGGGCAGCTCCGGGGCTGCGTGGGGGCGTCCCTCCTGGGTTACACCAGCCACAGAGATGGAGACTGGGGGACATGGAGCGTTGCCCCATCACGGCCATTCCCATCCCCACCACCCAGTCCGAGTCTTGCAGCCATGCATCGGGCTTACTTCTGATTTCCACCCCTACCCCAGACTGGGGCAGGCCGCGGGAGTGGGTCTGGTTCCCCTGCTTGGTTTCTGTTCAGGCCGTGGGGCGGGCAGGGGGCAGAGCAGTGAGACACCAGATGCTCCCATCTCTCCTTGGCAATAAATAACGGGGCAGGTGAGTTTATTGGAGATCAGGGCAGGCCGGTGTTTTTTCACACCGAGATACAGGATAGTTGGGGGGTGAGGGGAGAGGGTCTAGGGGAAGGGGGGCATGTGGAAGGAAGGCTCATGACGGGGGAGCAGCATGAAGTCCAGAGGCGGCCGGGGGAGAATCCGGCCCCGTGAAATCCAGAGCCACGCGAGGAGAGGCAGAAACTCTGGATCCAGCTCCTCTCCTCATCCCTGTCCCCAGCTCTTCAGGGCCCAGCACGAGTCCCCATGGGGTCGGGAAGTCACTGCACTGTTCTGTGCCTCAGTTTCCCCATCAGTAAAGTGTGGAAGATAAGCCTTCTCCTTCGTCCTCTCAGACCATGAGTTCTTTGGGCCAGTGGCTGCCTCTCGCTATTGGTCTGGGCAGCGCTCGGTGCGATCGGGCCCCGATCTCGGTCGGGGTCTGTGCAGCGCCCGGAGCGACGGGGCCCTGATTTCGGTCGGGGTCTGTGCAGCGCCCGGCCCCATGGGGCCCTGATCTCGGCCACAACTCTCTTCCAAGAAATAATCTGCAATTAAAAAGAAATAAAGCCCAAAGCTCAGGAGCCGATGTGCAAAGTCCTGCAGGCACTGAGGGCGTCGGGGGGAGACCTTTCTGTGCAAAGCCCCCGCGTCTGGAGAAGACCCGATCGGCCGGGCTGCAGGCCCCTGCGTCTGGAGCCCCTTTTAAGAAGCGGCCGTTCCTTGCAAAGCACCTGGGAAGCTGAGACCCAGAGCAACCACTGGGACTGTGCATCCTGCGGTCCAGAGTCCAGCCTCCAAGCTGGCGTCTGCTTTAACTGTCCCGAGCTGAACGGGCCGAGAACTCAGTTGCTCCTGGTGGGGCAGAAGTTCCCGGGACTTTTGGGGCTGGGCAGGGAGCGCTGGCTGGGGTCCCTCCGGAGTAGCCACTCGGAGCGAGGCCCTGGTGGGGTGGCCTGTGTCCCTCCAGGAAGGGGGCACCACTGTGGCTGCCCTGGGCGCGTTGCGGGTCCGGGTTGCATGGTCCACGTTGCTTTCGGGGTGGCCCCACTCGCCCAAGCAGGCACGTGGCCACGAACACCTCCCGCCTGGGCACCGCTGTGTGAGATGTGCCGCTCGCCAAGATGATACGCCAGAGGGACGCGCAGCCCAGCCGTGACACCATGGGGGAGCGCACGGTCACACAATGCTTAGAGCAGTAACTACTCACGGGCACAAGTGCACTGTCGTTCCCACACGTTTACACCGTAATTGTGCTGTGGCTACACCTCCCACCCACCCCTTGCACACACACCCTGACAGGCCTTTCTCCTCACATTTACACTCCAGCTCAGGCCTGTTCCTGGTGCCCCTGTCCTCTCCGACCCAGCATTTAAGACCATGGAAACAAAAATTAAGACAACGAATGAGGGAAGTGGCCTGTAGCCAGGAGGACAATGGGGAGGGGGGGACGGAGATTTCTTTCTCTCCATCTCATGGCCCTCTTCTCCTATTCTACCGTGCCCTCCAGCTCACTGGGCGTTGCTGTGTGTGGCGAACACCAATGTTTAAGACTTGGGACTCCCCTGAGCTTCCCTTTCCCCACCTCAGCTTGCCCGTTAGCTTGGGACAAGCTGGAGGTCTGTGATTCTGGGGGCATGGCAAGCCAGGGACGTCTGGGTGGCCCCCGAACTCCTGGGGGATGCAACTACGCTCTGCGAGGGGTAGGAGAAATGTCAGCTTTGCGGGATTTGGGGGGGAAATGTTCGATTGGGAGGGGTTTGGAGTGGGTTGGAAAAGGACCAGAAGAGGACTGAGCTGGGTTGGGGGACTGAGTAGAACAGAGTTGCATTGGGGCTTTGGAGGGGAGTGGACTGCGTTGTGTCTGGTTGGAAACTGACTGGATTGGGTTTGGAGGGTATTGAGTTACACAGAGTTGGAGGGACTGGACTGCGTTGGGAATGGGCTGGGTTGAGGTGGGAAGGGATTGAGCTGCGTAGGGATTGGGGGACTGGACTGGGTTGGATCGGGTTGGGAACAGGTTGGATTGAGTTGGGAAGGGATTGAGTTGTGTAGGGTTAGGGGGACTGGACTGCGATGGGTTGGGTTGGGTTGGGAACGTTCTGGGTGGAGTTGGGAGGGGACTGAGTTGCATAGGATTGGGGGGACTAGACTGCGTTGGGTTGGGTTGGGAATGGGCTGGGTTGGTTTGGGAGGGGATTGAGCTGCATAGGGTTGGGGGGACTGGACTGGACTGGGTTGGGTTGGGAATGGGCTGGGTTGAGTTAGGAGGGGATTGAGTTGTGTAGGGTTGGGGGAACTGGACATCGTTGGGTTGGCAGGGGGCTGGTTTGGGTTGGGAAGGGATTGAGCTGCGTAGCGCTGGGGGGACTGGAGGCTCCTGGATTGCACTGGGTTGGGGACAAGCTGAGTGACCCACTGACTGAGTTGAGTCGAGGTTGAGTTGAGGCACCGGCATGGAGCTCACCCTTATGGAAGCTGTGAGCCAAGGTTTTTTCTCCTTGCTTGGCCCGTTTTGCGGCAGGGCTGACACCTTTGAGCCCAGCTTACCAGGCAAACGTCCCCAGGGTGGAGGCGGGAAGGAGACACGCTTGGGAGAAGCAACCGTTCCAGCCCCAGCTTTGAATCTGCCACCATGGGAGTGGCTGGGTGGGCTGGGCATGTCCCTAGTTGAGGTGTGGAGCTGACGGGAAGGATGGCTCCCAAGGTGGGACACTGGGGCGGAAGGATCCCATTTAATGGGAGACAACCCCAGTCCAGCACATAAACGTAGTCACCATCTCCCCGGGGCTCTGACCGCCTCCCTGGCCCCTGCCCCGGCCCTCCACCTCTCTAATGGCTGGGATTGTATTGCCCTGCAAAGCTCGCTCAGATGCCTTGGCAAAACGCCTTCCCGTATTTATCCCCACGCTTGCTATTTGGGGCTCGGTTGCGTGGGGTATGTTCCAGGGCGCTCTCCAGCAGATGTAACCCGAGAACATGCTGAGGTGAGCTCAGCAAGTGCCCCGGGGCCAGCTGCTCTCAGTCACGGAGTGGGAGATGGGACTGGGGGCGGGGGAGGTGTCGGTACCGGGCCGACTGCATCCACAGCTTTCTGGCTGGGCGAGGGGGGCAATATCCGTGCCCCGCCATGCCAGGTTCCAGTTTTCCCTGTGTGCCAGAAGACACTCCCCCCACCCCCTTGCCCCACTCTGGTTAGAGACAGAGTGGCCAAAACTAGGACCCAATCTCTTCTCCCGCCGCCCAAGAGAGGCACCGAGGAGGGGAGGGGCGGCAGGTCGGAAGTTGGGTGGGGAGAGGCGCCAGAAGGGTCACACCTGGGTCACCAGGCCCCAGTTGGGTTGCTGGGGCTCCAACAGGACTGGCTGGCTGCTGGCAGAGGCCACCATCCCGTCCAGGAGCCGGCAGCTGGGCAGCGCCAGGGCCCCATCTCCACAGTACATCTCCTTGCCGCAGGCCTTCTTCCGGCGGGCGGGCGGTGTGGGAGAGGGTGGGTGGCCAGGGCAGCCGGTCACATGAGTGTACTGGCCCTGCTCCTCGCCTTCTGTCTCCCGGTGGTAGAAGTAGGAGAAGTTGGAGACGATGACGGGCACCGGGAGGGAGATGGTGAGGACCCCGGCGATGGCGCACAGCGAGCCCACGATCTTCCCACCCACTGTCACGGGAGACATGTCCCCGTAGCCCACTGTGGTCATGGTGACCACGGCCCACCAGAAGGCCTCGGGGATGCTGGTGAAGTTGGTCTCGGCATGGTCAGCCTCGGCGAAGTAGACAGCGCTGGAGAAGAGGATGACGCCGATGAAGAGGAAGAAGATGAGCAAGCCCAGCTCCCGCATGCTGGCCTTCAGCGTCTGGCCCAGGATCTGCAGCCCCTTGGAGTGTCGCGAGAGCTTGAAGATGCGGAAGACTCTGACCAGCCGGATGACACGGAGGATGGCCAGCGACATGGCCGGCTGGCCCACCCCACGCTGCCGGGCGAACTCCGTGCCCAGCGCCACGAAGTAGGGGATGATCGCCACGAAGTCAATCATGTTCATGATGTCCTTGAAGAAGGCCGGCTTGCTGGGGCTGGCCAGGAACCGCACCACCAGCTCGAAGGAGAACCAGCAGATGCAGATGGTCTCTACGATGAAGAAGGGGTCGTCCATCTGGCTCTTGGGGGTGTGCATGTGGCTGCTGTTGGCCCGGTGATGGGGGACCTGGCGGGGACACGTGGTGGAGGAAGGGGTCAGGGGGAAACCCAGCTGGGGAGGCAGCCCGGCCCGAGGGGGTACAGCGAGGGGGTGGGATGCAGCCCAGGTTACCCCTGCTCCCCTGCAGGGAATTCCCCCACCCCGCCCAGCAGCATCCGCAAATTTACATCAATTATTGGTCCCCGCCAGGAGCCAGCAGCCTGGGAGCGAGGGGAGGGAGGTCACCCAGCCCAGGGGGTGGGAGGGGGGAGGTGTTGGGTAGTCGGCTCTTCACAGTGCCGTTAATCTGCAGGCTGCTCCTAGGCAGGACCCACACAGCCAGGCCAGTCAGCACCATCCCTGACTCAGCCTGCCAGGAACGAGGCCCCCCGCAAGCAGCCAAGACTCCTGGGTTCTCTCCCAGCTCTGGGAAGGGGGTGGTGGTGCAGGGGATGCTGGAGTTTTAGGGGTCCCCCCTTTCCACTCCCTGGCAGTGAGATGTCCCTCTTGTCCCAGAACTCGAACAGGATCTCCAGGCAGAGGGGATGTTGGGATGAGGTTGGTGGCGGGGTGGAGGGAACGCAGGGCTGGGCAGCGGGCGCAGGGCGGGCACCAGAGCCGCAGGGCGGGCAGCGGGCGCAGGGCTGGGCAGCGGGCGCAGGGCAGCGGGCGCAGGGCAGGGCGGGCAGCGGGCGCAGGGCAGCGGGCGCAGGGCAGGGCAGGCAGCGGGCGCAGGGCAGCGGGCGCAGGGCAGGGCAGGGCAGGGCAGCGGGCGCAGGGCAGGGCAGGGCAGCGGGCGCAGGGCAGGGCAGGGCAGCGGGCGGCAGGGCGGGCGCAGGGCAGCGGGCGCAGGGCAGGGCAGGCAGCGGGCGCAGGGCAGGCAGCGGGCGCAGGGCAGGGCAGGGCAGCGGGCGCAGGGCAGGCAGCGGGCGCAGGGCAGTGGGCGCAGGGCAGGGCAGCGGGCGCAGGGCAGCGGGCGCAGGGCAGGGCAGGCAGCGGGCGCAGGGCAGCGGGCGCAGGGCAGGGCAGCGGGCGCAGGGCAGGGCAGGGCAGGCAGCGGGCAAGGGCAGCGGGTGCAGGGCAGCGGGCGCAGGGCAGGGCGGCAGCGGGGCAGGCAGCGGGCGCAGGGCAGGCAGCGGGCAGGGCAGGGCAGGGCAGGCAGGCAGGCGCGGGCGCAGGGCAGCGGGCGCAGGGCAGGGCAGGCAGCGGGCGCAGGGCAGCGGGCGCAGGGCAGAGGGCAGGGCAGCGGGTGCAGGGCAGCGGGCGCAGGGCAGGGCGGGCAGCGGGCGCAGGGCAGTGGGCGCAGGGCAGGGCGGGCAGCGGGCGCAGGGCAGCGGGCGCAGGGCAGGCAGCGGGCGCAGGGCAGCGGGCGCAGGGCAGGGCAGCGGGCGCAGGGCAGGGCAGGGCAGGCAGCGGGCACAGGGCAGCGGGCGCAGGGCAGCGGGCGCAGGGCAGGGCGGGCAGCGGGCACAGGGCAGGCAGCGGGCGCAGGGCAGGGCAGCGGGCGCAGGGCAGCGGGCACAGGGCAGGGCAGCGGGCGCAGGGCAGGGCAGCAGCGGGCGCAGGGCAGCGGGCGCAGGGCAGGGCAGGCAGCGGGCGCAGGGCAGCGGGCGCAGGGCAGCGGGCACAGGGCAGGCAGCGGGCACAGGGCAGCGGGACAGGGCAGCGGGCGCAGGGCAGCAGGCGCAGGGCAGGGCAGGGCGGGCAGCGGGCACAGGGCAGCGGGTGCAGGGCAGCGGGCGCAGGGCAGCGGGCACAGGGTGGGCAGCGGGCGCAGGGCAGCGGGCACAGGGCAGGGCAGCGGGCGCAGGGCAGGGCAGGGCAGGCAGGGGCGCAGGGCAGCGGGCGCAGGGCAGGGCAGGTAGCGGGCGCAGGGCAGCGGGCGCAGGGCAGGGCAGGGCGGGCAGCGGGCGCAGGGCAGCGGGCGCAGGGCAGCGGGCGCAGGGCGGGCAGCGGGCACAGGGCAGCGGGCACAGGGCAGCGGGCGCAGGGCAGCAGGCGCAGGGCAGGGCAGGGCGGGCAGCGGGCACAGGGCAGCGGGTGCAGGGCAGCGGGCGCAGGGCAGCGGGCACAGGGTGGGCAGCGGGCGCAGGGCAGCGGGCACAGGGCAGGGCAGCGGGCGCAGGGCAGGGCAGGCAGCGGGCGCAGGGCAGCGGGCGCAGGGCAGGGCAGGCAGCGGGCGCTCGGCAGGACGCCGGAGCCGCAGGGCCAGGCCCGCCGGCCCCCTCGCTCACCGGCAGCGCCATGTCCCGCTCGTCCCGGAACTCGGGCAGCGTCTCGAGGCAGAAGATGACGATGGAGATGAGGATGACCAGCACGGAGATGATGGCGATGATGCGGGCGGCCTGCGAGCTCTCCGGGTGCTCGAAGAGCAGCCAGACCTGCTTGAGGAACCCGGGCCCGGGCAGCGGGCGCGGCTGCTCCTTGACGAAGCCCTCGTCCTCCCGGAACTTGCTGAGCGCCTCCTCGCCCAGCTGGTAGAACTTCAGCTCCTCCAGGAAGATGTCGAGAGGCACGTTGGCGGGGCGCCGCAGCCGCCCGCCCGACTGGTAGTAGTAGAGGACGGAGTCGAAGCAGGGCCGGCTGCGGTCGAAGAAGAACTCGCCCCGCAGCGGGTCATAGTAGCGGAGCCGGCGCCGTGGGTCACCCAGCAGGGTGTTGGGGAACCGGAGCAGGGTCCTGGCCTGGGTCTCGAACCGCAGCCCCGCCACGTTGATCACCACCCGCTCGCAGCAGTCCCGGCGCAGGCACGGGACAAAGGGGCCGGGCACCTCGGCGGGTCCCCCCGCTGGCAGCGCCGGCTTCTCCATGGCGGGGGAGGTCAGGGCCCGGCGTCGGTGGCCATGGGCCGGGACGGGGGTTCCCCTCCGCGGGTGCCCCTGCCTCGCTCACCACCCTCCGCGGATTTGTTCCCTCCCTCACACCGTGTTCCCTCCTCCCATTCCTGCACTCAGCCCGTACCCCCTCCTCCTCTGGCCCCGATTCGCTCCCCTCTTCCCGCACTCAGCCTGTGTCTCCCTCCCCCTCCGGCACCAATTCACTCCCCCCTTCCCACGCTCAGCCCGTACCCCCTCCGGACTCGATTCGCTCCCCCCTTCCCACCCTCAGCCCGTACCCCCTCCCACTCCGGCCCCGATTCGCTCCCCCCTTCCCGCACTCAGCCTGTGTCCCCCTCCTCCTCCGGCCTCGATTCGTTCCCACATTCACACCATCTCCCCCCCGCCACATACACACTCTTCTGATCTCAACCTTTCCCGCTCCTCTCTTCTGCCCTGACAATTCCCTGCGCCCCTCTTCTTCTCCTCTCTTCGCCCCTCTGGCCCCCCCACTCCTTCCGAGCCCCGGATCTGTGTGTCCGTCCGTCCCTGAGGCCAAGGGCCAGGATCTCTGGCTGTAAACACGTTCCCAGCCCGGAGAGGTGTCATGTTCTCAGGACAGCTCTGACTTCCAGTGCCCCTGTGCCAAACCCCAGTGCCCGCCCCCACCCCGCTGCCCCTTCGGCTCTGAGGGCACTAAAAATAACGGGGGCAGAGAGCTCCCAGGGATGATATGGAGGCGGGGGGTGGGAGCCAGGACTCCTGGGTTCTATTCCCAGCTCTGAGAGGGGAGTGGGGTCTAGTGGTTAGAATTACCACTAGACCCCCACTCCCCTCTCAGAGCAGTGGGGGGCTGGGAGCCAGGACTCCTGGGTTTTATCTCTGGCTCTGAGAGGGGAGAGGGGTCTAGTGGTTAGAGCAGGGTGGGGCTGGAAGCCAGGACTCCTGGGTTCTATTCCCACCATCTGTAAAATGCAAAGAATAATTGACATGCATAAAACTGAAATGCGAATGCCCAAGGGGATGAGCGCTTCCCTTTGGGGCGTCCCTCTCTGGACCTCCTGTTCCTGGATTCTAATGGAAGCTCGTTAACCGAGATGGGGTTAATTAATCTAATATTGGGAGGAGAGTGGTAATCACACCCAAGTAACAAAGCGTTAGGGATCAAGAGATAACTGTTGTAATAAGAAAGTAATCTGTTAATAGGTATGACATAAGTGCCCAGGAATGATGGTGTTAATCTGCCTGGAGAGTGTGGGGGTGTGATAAACAGAGTTAATTAATTTATTAATTAGTGGGGTGGCTTCTGCCCTTACCTGAACTATAGGGATTGTGCCAGCTTCCCTGTGTGTATGCAACACACCATGCTCTAACCATTAGACCCCACTCCCCTCCCAGAGCTGGGGAGAGAACCCAGGAGTCCTGGCTCCAAGCCCCCCTGCTCCAACCACTCGACACCCCTCCGCTCCCTGAGGAGAGAACCCAGGAGTCCTGCTCTAACATGCCCAACATCCCTCATCTCCCCATACTCCCATCCCTGGTCCTTCTAGTCCTGTTGGGTTTCTGTCCAGGGGTGTCTGTGCCCCTCACACAGCCTACCAGCGCCATCTGCTGCTCCTCTGTGGGCATCTCTGCTCCAGAGCCATCTGCGGTGGCAGGCCTGGGGTGTACAGGGTCCCCTGTGACCCTGCAGTGCCAGGCCTGGGGCATATAGGGGTGTAATGACCCCCGTGACCCTGCAGTGCGAGGCCTGGGGCATACAGGGGCGTATGGACCCCCCATGAACCTGCAGTGCCAGGCCGGGGGCGTACAGGGGTGTATGGACCCCCCGTGACCCTGCAGTGCCAGGCCTGTGGCATATGGGGGGGTATGGACCCCCCGTGACCCTGCAGTGCCAGGCTGGGGGCGTATGGACCCCCCATGAACCTGCAGTGCCAGGCCTGGGGCATACGGGGGTGTATGGACCCCCCGTGACCCTACAGTGCCAGGCCGGGGGTGTACAGGGGTGTATGGACCCCCCATGACCCTGCAGTACCAGGCCTCGGGCGTATGGCGCCCTGCCCTAGGGGCGGAGGAGGCTGTATCCCAAGCCCAGCTGGGCCCGGGTCGTTACCCCAGCTGTTATGGCGCGGGATGGGGACATATCCCTGGTTGCTATGGAGAACATCTGGATCATCAGCATGGCTCCAGGCCTACCACTGAGGGTGAGTATTATGGTCTGCCTTCCCCTTTTCGGACGGTTATGGCGCAGGTCAGAGGTCACGGCCCAGTTGCTGTGAGGCAAGTCGGGGTCATGGGCCCGGCTGCTGTGGCATAGGTCAAGTTCATGGGCCTGGTTGCTATGGGGCAGGTCGGGGGTCGTGGGCCTGGTTGCCATGGTGCAGGTCAAGGTCATGGGTCCGGTTGCTAGGGGGAGGTCGGGGGTCATAGGCCCGGTTACCGTGGCTCAGGTCGTTGGTCATGGGTCCGGTTGCTAGGGGGCAGGTCAGCGGCCATGGGCCCGGTTGCCATGGCGCAGGTCAAGGTCATGGGTCCGGTTGCTAGGGGGCAGGTTGGGGGTCATGGGCCCAGTTGCTAGGGGGCAGGTTGGGGGTCATGGGCCCGGTTGCCAGGGCGCAGGTCGGGGGTCATGGGCCTGGTTGCTATGGGGCTGGTCGGGGGTCATGGGTCCGGTTGCTGTGGGCAGGTTGGGGGTCATGGGCCCGGTTGCTAGGGGGCAGGTCGGGGGTCATGGGCCCAGTTGCCAGGGCGCAAGTCGGGGGTCATGGGTCCGGTTGCTGTGGGGCAGGTCGGGAGTCATGGGCCCAGTTGCTAGGGGGCAGGTTGGGGGTCATGGGCCCGGTTGCCATGGCGCAGGTCAAGGTCATGGGTCTGGTCGCCAGGGTGCAGGTCGGGGGTCATGGGTCCGGTTGCTAGGGGGCAGGGTCAGGCCTTTAGGGGGGGTTGGGGGTCATGGGCCCGGTTGCTGGGGGCAGGTCGGGGGTCATGGGCCCGGTTGCTGGGGGCGGTCGGGGGTCATGGGCCTGGTTGCTAGGGGACAGGTCGGGGGTCATGGGCCCGGTTGCCATGGCGCAGGTCAAGGTCATGGGTCCGGTTGCTAGGGGGCAGGTTGGGGGTCATGGGCCCGGTTGCTAGGGGCAGGTCGGTTTGGAGTTGGACTTCTGGGGCAGGTCGGGTCTTGGGGGAGGTTGGGGGTCATGGGCCCGTTGCTAGGGGCAGGTTGGGGGTCATGGGCCCGGTTGCTGTGGTTGGGTTGAGGGGGTGGGGGTCATGGGCCCGGTTGCTAGGGGGCAGGTCGGGGGTCATGGGCCCGGTTGCTGTGGGGCAGGTCGGGGGTCATGGGTCCGGTTGCTAGGGGGCAGGTCGGGGGTCATGGGCCCGGTTGCTGTGGGGCAGGCGGTCTGGGGTTTGGGGGGGGGGGTCATGGGTCCGGTTGGCCTGCTAGGGAGCAGGTCGGGGGTCATGGGCCCGGTTGCCATGGCGCAGGTCAAGGTCATGGGTCCGGTTGCTAGGGGGCAGGTTGGGGGTCATGGGCCCGGTTGCTAGGGGGCAGGTTGGGGGTCATGGGCCCGGTTGCTAGGGGGCAGGTCGGGGGTCATGGGCCCGGTTGCTGGGGGGCAGGTCGGGGGTCATGGGCCCGGTTGCCATGAGGCAGGTCGGGGGTCATGGGCCCGGTTGCCATGACGCAGGTCGGGGGTTTCCACCATGGCGCCAGGAGCGCCCCCAGCGGCGAGTATTATGGTCTGCCCCTGCCCCGCGCTCGGGCACTCCTTTTCCTGCCGGCGGCGGAGGAATCATTCGTCCTCGTTTCTCTTTCCGCCGCCTCGAGCGAGTCCCGGCGGCGCCTGGATCCGGACGCGGTGACGCGGCCCGCATGCGCAGAGCGGTCAGGGAGCAGGCCCCGAGCAGGCGGCAGCGGGAGGAGCGGAGCGCGGCGCGGCCGGTGAGAGACGGGCCGGGGGGGGCACGCGGGCCTGGGGCTCCGGGGGCTCCTGGGCGGGCGCGGGGGGGCAGCCTGCGGGGGGGCCCTGGGGGTTCAGCAGTGGGGGGAGGGGAGGTGACGGCTGTGGCGGGGGGGTCACAGGGGCGCGGGGGGCAGCCTGCGGGGGCCCTGGGGGTTCAGCAGTGGGGGGAGGGGAGGTGAGGCTGTGGCGGGGGGGCGCGGGGGGGGCAGCCTGGGGGGGCCCTGGGGGTTCAGCAGTGGGGGGGGGGAGGTGACGGCTGTGGCGGGGGGTCACAGGGGCGCGGGGGGCAGCCTGCGGGGGGCCCTGGGGGTTCAGCAGTGGGGGGAGGGGAGGTGACGGCTGTGGCGGGGGGGTCACAGGGGCGCGGGGGGGCAGCCTGCGGGGGGCGGGGGCCCTGGGGGTTCAGCAGTGGGGGGGAGGGGAGGTGACGGCTGTGGCGGGGGGGTGAGAGGGGATGGGGGGGGTCACAGGGGTTCGGGGGGGGCCGCCTGCGGGGGGGCGGGGGGCCTGGGGGATGGGGGGGGTCCGGGTTACATTGGGGGGAGCCAGGCAGTGTCCATGGCAGCCCCAGGGGGTGGCGGGGGAGGGGTCAGGAAGTGACTGGCTGCGGGGAGTAGCGGGGAGCTTTGCGGGAGGGGCTAGCAGGCGGTGGGGCTGGGGACAGTGGGGCTGGGCTTGGCGGCAGTCTAGAGTCAGTGGTCATGGGGCTTGAGCGCTGAGCAGTGGTGGGCTTGGGTGGGGGGAGCTGAGGGGAGTCAGGCAGCTGGGGACGAGGGTCACGGGTTGGGGGGGTCAGCAGTAGGCTCTAGGTGAAGAGGGGGCATGTGTGTGGGCTGTGGGAGGTCCAGGGGGAGCAGTGGAGACGGTGGGTGAGTGGGGGAAGTTAACTGGGGGGAGTAGGAATTGAAGGATGGATTGGGGTGGGGTGCGGGGTTCAGGAAGGAGAGTGGGATTGGGGTGAGGGGGGAGCAACGGGCAGGATGTGGGGGATGTGAGGGGAGGAGGAGTCCTGCGTGTCGTGCAGGGCCC